GGCTCGGCTTGGCTCAGTCTTGACTTCTTTACCTTTTTGGGACCTCTCTTCCATATTGAAGTGAGAGCCATTCCTCAGTGTCTCTCTGCAGTCTCCATAGAGATGCTGCTCCAGAGTCAGATTTGACGCTGCCAGGTGTTTGAACTCTGACTCAAAGGGAAAGCCATTGCCTGGCTGGGTAGCTCCTTCCACCTGGCTCAGGACCGCAGTCCCCCTGTACACCTCGATTGCCTCTGGAAGCATGGACTTGATCTTGGGGAGCCAGCGCTTGCGAACTCTCCGGGCATTGGTGCACATGTCTGCGGCGATCACATTCATCTCACTTTCTTTGAAGTTAGGGGCAAAGTTCTGACAGTAGACTAATGATAAAACAGAGAGAAAAAAGGAATATTAATGCTTCAAGTCAAAATGTTACCTATTTCACGTCCATATTGTAACATATTTCCAAATTAAACAGGAGAAAAGTTGGTAAGGTGGAACTGATTGGATCATGAAAAGTGGAAATTGGAGGCAAGGAAAGTTTTAATGAAAGATTTTAAAGCCAAATTTAAAAAAAAGTAAACAAAGGAATCATGCCCACTAAGACCAGGAACATAAATAGAGTACATTTTGCTTGTTGTAACAGCATAGCAAAGGGTCACTCACGTTTCACTGTGTTGAGTATGCGACTGTCCAGTGGTTTGCGATTCGGATCACAATTTGAGGAACGTATTCCAGTCCCACAGCTGTCAGCCAGTGTGTTCCTGCAGCCAAAATACCATAGTCAACCACTGGAGGGCACACACACAATATTTTTCCAAAACACCATGCAGTCCTTATAGTTATCAAACACAATATACTGAAACATTTGAATGTTAGAACACTGACGCCATCTCTGCTTGGCTACTTTTACTGTAGAACTGAGCTCTTAGTATTTCAGACATTCTATAGAAACACATGCATGCTTGTTACAAATCTGTAATGTTTTAGACCTGTCAAAAAAAGCAGCTAGGAGGCGTCTCAGCAGGACTTTGTGTTTGACCCCAGCACAGAGGTGACAGTTCATCAGCTGCCCACGAGTCATGAAGACACCAGATCCTTCCACAGCACCAACAGAGAAACAAGGAGACCTTAGCTCTGAATCAGTGACTCAAATGACTCAGTCTGAACTGATAAATAATTCAGATGGACATGGAGTTTCAGACAGGCTGCTATTATTCAGGCCTCACCTGCAATCAGCTCCAGTCTCTCTCCAGGGTCGCCCTCTGTGTAGAGAGCAGGGTGGCAACGGTAGCCGATTTGGCTGATGAGTCCGGCAGGCAGAGCCTCTCTGTCTCCTCCTAACAGCACACAGAAACGGTTCTCCAAGGACAGAGGCAGGGAGGACACCTCCATCTTCTCTTTCACTGGGAAGAGACAAAACAGATCACACTCAAAGGGATCAATCCGTAGTGTTTTGAGCTGCAATGGAGGAAAAGAGAAGTCCACTAAAAGACATTTACTGCCAAAGATCCCGGACGAGCCCCCAAAGATCTTCCCATTTGTCAGGCTCTCGTATGAGTCGTCTTCAAAATCCTCCTCCTCATTTTGGTGTGAAGTTGGGCTGTCTGTGGTCGGGAGGCTAGAGGCACCAGGACTGGCATGATCTCGGGTCGAGAGCTCGTAAGCATGCATCACAGGTATGACCCCGTTTACGCCTCCACTTGTGTAAAAAAGAGTGCCATTCCTTGAAGATCTGCCCCTAGGTCTCCTGTCCTCCTCAGAGTACTTTAGCTCCCCATTCTGAGCACACACCAGGGTCTCCAGCTTCTCTTCCTTGATCTTGCAGACAGTTGTGGGTTGGTCGCCTAGCAACAGGGAGGAGTTGTTGTTGTTTGGGCTCGAGGGATCGTCTGTGGCAGATGTCTGCGAGTCACAGTATGGAGCGCTGGCCTTGAACATGAGGTCCATTCCTCGCTCTATGATGTTCTGGATCTGAAGGTAGCCTGCGGTGTACATGACCATCAGCTGATCGCTGGCACTCACCGTCATCCGGCCCGTGTAGCAGAATGACAGAATCTGCTGGAAGCAGGATGGGGCCACAGACGAGGGCAGCTCAAAGAGCGTCTGGGCACTACCGCTGAACAGATCACGGAAGTAGAGGCTGCTGGCCGCCAAAACAGCGCGGTGGGCCTTGAAGGCCTGTCCGTTGACCATGATGGCCACATCGCAGTGCTGGCCCAGCAGCCGCTGTTCATTCAGGCTGTCCAGAACAGTGCTGCCAAAGTTTGGAATCTCCATGTGCAAGAGCTGAGACATAATGCCCGTTTCAGATCTCTGGAGAAGACAGGATGTTCTCACCAGACATCTAAGACAGCAGAAAGTCAAAATGAAGGTGGACCGGCTTGATGAGGTAACAAACAGAAAATGACTAGATTCAAAATTCACACAATGTTTATCTGGTGCAGACACAGCAGAAAAATGCGACAGAAATGCTGCACAGCAACTCCCTTGGTAAACAGCTCTCTTCACCCCAACATTACTAGAGTCTGCATGTTTGGCAACTCAGCATAAGCTTGCCTGGAGTATTCAAAAGAAGCTGAAAAGTGACCGACAAACACACCCA